CCATCAGCAACCCCACGAGACACGTGTACACAGGTGGGAAGGGGTGCGTCAAAGTCTGGGACATCAGCCACCCTGGCAACAAGAGCCCTGTCTCTCAGCTGGACTGCCTGGTAGGTGAACAGCAGCATATGACAGTGGAAGAAGATGGAATGTTGTGTTAAGATTGAAATGGTACTGTTAAGGTACAAAATGAGTGGCTATTTGAGGGCTGTCATTGGTATCATTTATAATTTTGTTGTTTCTTTTAGAACTGAGTTAGAAGTATGTTCCTTGTACTTATGGTTTTTTTCCCCCCGTGAATCAAAACAATATCCTAGGGGGAAAGATCAAAGACAGCACAGCAAATATTGTTTATAAACTTTGACATTTGTTGGCAATCTTAAAACTTGATATCCTATCATGCTAAAAATTGTTGTCTTGCAGCTGTATTCTCTGAGAATATTTGAAGATTGTGTCACATATTTTGTCTCTGTATGCATGTTAATACATTGCCCTGTCTTAATGTGACAATTAAAAATACCCTTGAGTGTTATTCACAAACTATTTGAATGTGCTAACAGGATGAACCATTGTTAGCAGCTTTTTGTGTGTCATTTACTGATTCTTCTTAAGATGTTGCTTCTTGTTACAGAGGCAGTAAAATGAGAACTGTGCAGCACATGTAGAGATATAATGAATTGCTATGCAAGTTGCTACACAAATGAAGAAAATTGCCCAAATATTTTGCTCTGACATCTCCTAGATAGTGGCAGCAAGTCTCACTGGAACAGAGGCAGCAGGGGGAGTGTGCAGGGAATTTGGTACTCCCCCATGCCGAGAGGTTAATGTGCTGAAATAAACAGAGTATGAAAATGTAACTTTCTACACAAGCTGTCAAATACAGCTATCTTGAATTGCTTTGGGCTGGGTTCAGGTCTTTGCATTTTGATGCTAATTAAGATTAAATATCTCTCACTACTGAATTTTGTAGATCAAGTTTAAGTACTTCCCTAATGTCATGTAATTTTCTGGCATTAATACACTTTATCGTTGTCATAAGTATAAATGGCTCATTAAAACCAGGAGGGAATACAATACTTTTATGGATTTCTGCTCTTATGTTAATGCTGTTTTCCTTTCCTCATGAGTAATCTTTTGATGGCTTCTGTCTCCACAGAACAGAGATAACTACATCCGTTCCTGCAGATTGCTCCCCGATGGCCGCACCCTGATTGTTGGTGGGGAAGCCAGCACGTTATCCATTTGGGACCTGGCGGCTCCAACTCCTCGCATCAAAGCAGAGCTGACATCTTCTGCTCCAGCTTGCTATGCCCTGGCTATCAGCCCCGACTCCAAGGTCTGCTTCTCTTGCTGTAGTGATGGGAACATTGCAGTGTGGGATCTGCATAACCAGACTTTAGTAAGGTAGGTCGACAGAACTGGATCATCAGGTTGTGAAGAATTACTTAGACACAGTCTTATGTGCTCTCTTCTGTATACATGCACTATTTTCTCCACAATGTCTGTATAGCTGCTTCCAATATTTCACTGCTAGGTGATAGCCCGGTAATACTTTGACAAAAGTTTATGTAATTATAGGTTCTGAGAGTTTTGTAATTCCAGGCCTGTTGAGCAGCCCATAACTATGATTTCCTTAGATCAGCTGGTGTTGACATTCCTCTAGGTTCTTTGAACAGGTGGTTTCCTTTGTTTCTGTGCATACACTGTGCTCACACTCCAATGTCTTTATTCAGTGCTCCAGCAAATATGTCTTGGGTAAGGATATGTGTATTGTAACTCTTAGGAGTATGGGTTGCTGCTCAACACTAATGTACAGTAAGCTATGAGCCAGTCATGCAGAGTTTCTCTGTGCACTGTACTGTGCATATGTTGTTATATGTAATACATCAGTATTGCGTATAAAGGCAGACTTTCACTCCCTGTTATTTCCAATTTAGACTGCTCTTTTATTTCCAGCTTTGTTGGTGACCTGCAGATTCTTCATAAACCAAGTGAATTTTGACGATCATGCTTTGGCAAAAGTGGGGTACTCTCGGTTGAATAGTGGGTATCACACAGGCAGCAGCAAAGGTTTCTAGAGTATCTGCTGGTAAAGTGTGCTTTTTGAAATCAAATTAGCACTTGTCTGTCTGGCCTGATTGCTTCATCAATTCATCACAAAACTCACGTGGGTGTCCCAGAGTTTATGTTAATCTCAGATTGCTGTTGGACTCTACGTCTTTAATGGCCACATATCAGGGACTGAAAGAGAAAGGAGGTATTTTGTGTAAAACTGACTCTTTCCAGAGTGAGTACATGCATATCTTCTTTCCATATTTTCAGACAATTTCAAGGCCACACAGATGGAGCGAGCTGTATTGACATTTCTAACGACGGCACCAAACTATGGACAGGAGGCTTGGACAATACAGTCAGATCCTGGGATCTCAGAGAAGGAAGACAGCTACAGCAACATGACTTCACATCACAGGTTCAATCTCAGAAGCTTTGGCATGTTAAGAAAAATCTGTCACAGTTTTCTAAAACAAGCACATTTGGTTTTAGTTTTATGTTATTTTTATTTCAAGCAAAAGAAGACGCTTAAAGAGAACTCTAATGAATTTTTCACTTGGTCTCAGACTTTTTTCCCTTTTTTTCTTTTTTTTCCTTTTTTTTTTCTCTTTTTTATGTGGCAGCCAAACATCTTTCTGGATTATTACTATTTGACAGATTAGTACTTCTCCCATGAGAGTAGTGGAGAATCCTTTTTATTAAAAAATTGCCAGATTAAAGCAATCTGCGCCAATGTTTCTAGATTATTTTTCAAGAATATTTTATGAAAATATTTTTAAATGCTGTCAGATAAGATAGGACATTAACTTTTATAACATGATTCAGTGTTTTACTATTACAGTTTTAATTGAACTTTGTTTACATGAACTAATTTATCTTAATTACTATAGTAATTGGATTATCATTATTTTAAAACTGTACTAGACCAAAATGTGTTTTTGCATAGTGTTAACAGTGTAACAGGAGTCTGTTTTGAATATCTCAAGCTCATTAATTTCCTGATTAAAGCATGTGCTGTGCTAATTCCAGATCTTCTCACTGGGCTATTGTCCAACTGGTGAGTGGTTGGCAGTGGGAATGGAGAACAGTAATGTGGAGGTGCTGCATGTTACTAAGCCGGACAAGTATCAGCTGCATTTACATGAGAGCTGTGTGTTGTCACTCAAATTTGCTCACTGTGGTAAGCAAAACTTTCTATGCCAGTGTTTTCCCTCCTGATAAATTCATTCAAGAATACCTTTAAATGAAAGTAGGGGTATATTTATAAATTAGATGTTAAATTTAAATATTAAAATTGTTTTTAAAATTCTGTATGACTGCTTTTTTGTGTGAACTTATGTTGTGATTGAAATCATAGTGCAACCAGATGAAAATGTGACTATTCTTTGGGTATGATTTCCATTAGTGTGTAAATGCATTGTTTTTATGATTAATCTGTTTCTTGGGGTGTGTTCCTTGAAAACAAAATGCAACAGTAACATTTAAACAATCTGTTGCAGGCAAATGGTTTGTAAGCACTGGAAAAGATAATCTTCTTAATGCCTGGAGAACACCTTATGGAGCCAGTATCTTCCAGGTAATAATCTCCTAAAACCTATTTTCCACATACATTATAGTGCTGTAGAGCTGCACATGTCAGGGTCTGTCATTATCTTAAGGAGTTTTTAAATGGAAATTCTTGGCTAATTACTATGTTCCTTTAAGACTTTGACTGCAATTAGAGAGAGATATGCTTTTTTGTCCTTTCTAACATTTGAATAATTTAGCTCAATAATTTAGTTACAATAAAGTAGCCCTTCAACTGGAAATAGTTTTTAATACCCTTCTTGCTCACCTTCTTGTGCATATTGCTCTAATGTAGTACCCAAGTCATGTCGTTAGGTGAGCATTCGATGAAGGTCCAAAATGTAACTGAAACACTGAAAGTCATATTCAACACATGTGTTTTTCTTGGATGAAATGTATAAAGTCAGTGGATTGGACATGCAGACTCCTTAGCTAAAGACTCTATCCTTATGGAGGAGCCCTCTCTGACAAACTTTAATGGCAGCTTAGTGCTATTAAAAAAAGTAGGATTTTTGGCATGTCCTTCTCTTCTTTCACCTACAGGTTGCCTCTAGGCTGGGAATTTTTTTGAATTAAGTTAACTAGTGTTTCAGTTCAGATCTCACCTGTACTGTTACCTGCTGTGTCTCTGCCGTTGGGCACAGCGCAGTTTGCCTTGATGTGGGAAAGCTGAGGTCTGAGTTTTCTTAGTGAAGACTATTCAGCTGTGGAACCACCTCTCACAGAAAGCCCAAATCATCTGAACAAGAACACATCTCCCTTAAAAGTGATGTTAAACCCCAGTGCAGCTTTCTTAATGTGGGGTAGAGAAAGAAACGTCCTCTGCAGTGCAGCAGAGGTTTCTTGGCTAAAACTTAGCATGATTGGGAAGTGTTTAGCTCTTGCAGTGACAGGCAGTAAAGAATGTGGACATATGGTATGTAAAGAAGAACATGCAGTAAAATATCAAGTGTGTCAATAAGTACACATCATCACAGAAAAGCTGAGAGACAGAGCGACTGTATCCTGCTGTATCCTGTCTCCTATTCACCTGCTGTACACTGTTGTGCATCCTGTTCCACCACAGTATTTTTTCATATATGCATTCTCCCTGATAATAAATTCCTTTGTGCAATGTTTTTGTCTTCTGTGTTGGGGAAATAGCGAGCGGAGATACAGTTACTTCTGTGGAGTCTCCGTCTCATACCTGCGGGTGGGTAGGACTTTGTAGTGCTTCTCTGGTTTACAACGAAAATGGAGGGAAGGAGATGAAGATGACTTTTCATTCCTTTTTATGCAAAAACTAGTGTGTAAAATATTAATTACTGTTCATTGCTTGTAAAGTGTATAGAAAGGACTGCCTCTTTTTGTTTGATTTATAGATTATCTCTGAGTCCTTAACATTCTCTTTCCTTTCTGCTGCTGTTTTTTGCTGCCATAGGGCCTTAGGTACAGCAGGTTTGTAGAAACAGTCGTAACAAAAGCTGCCATATGGTACTGATATTTAAATGAGCGTTCAGTGTGTTCCCTCTCTGTAAACTCTTCCAATTAATCTTCGAGCCATTCTGGATTAAAGAATTGGAAAGACATAATTTTCTTTTTTCTTTTTCTTTTTTTTTTTTTCTTTGTAGTCCAAAGAATCCTCATCTGTGCTTAGCTGTGATATCTCTGTGGATGACAAATACATTGTCACTGGCTCTGGGGACAAGAAAGCTACAGTCTATGAAGTTATTTATTAGAGACAAATCCGAATACAGACAGAACTCCTTCTCCTAGCACTTTGCTGTTTATTCCTTTTTTTTTCTTTCTAAGCTGAAAAGTTTAATGCTCATCACAGTTACCTTCTTAATTTGCTATTGATTTGTGAATGCTCATTAAGAACTTGTGATACCAAATTGTCAGGTATCTACTTGGAAGAAGATGGAATAAGCCTACTTATTAGTGAACTTGACTCTTTAATTATGTATTATAAGTATAATGTATTTATTTTGTTTAAGGAAGGCTTTCTAACAATGAAGTGACTAAATAAAGCTGTCTGGCCCGGCTTTAGTTTGAAAGGTGCATTGTATACTTTGTGTTTTTGCAGGTGGATAAATTGGGGATCTTGGAGAAGGATGTTCAGGAAATAGTTAAAGTTACACTAAATAGACTTGTAGTTTCTATTTAAAAAAAATAAATTTTGTTATATTTTTTAGTCCTGTTCTTGGATGAGACCTCTAAGTGTTATTACAGTATAATTATTTGGTGGGAAGATGCTGTATCTTAACTATTTTAGACAGTCTTGGAAACTTAGAAAATTGCAAACTGTAGCCAATAATCTACATGCCTGTGATGAATGGCAAATTCAGTTCACATCTAAATTAAATTCACTTTAAGTAAGAATGTGCTAATTTATATATTTGCAATGGTAATATAGCATCTTGTGTACAGATTTGTTCTCAATGCTTTTCTGTTGATAAACATAAAGCATTTTGGTGTCAAGCTAGGTTTTTTAATGTAAACACCTCTCTTTGTTACATTGTAGAGAGTACAATAAGTTGCCTCAAAGAATCACCTTTGTTACTTTTGGAAACTTTTGCAATGTTTCCTTCAAAATGGGGATATGTGTCTTTGGGCAATTTTTCAATTACAAGAGATTATGAAAAATATTTGATATGTTCTTTGGAAACTGCACTGAAATAAGAATAGATGCCTACCAATATACAAACTACAAAAACAATGACCTCTGAGGTAGGATTTACAAGAGTACTCATTCTGACATACAAAGAGGAATGGATTCTCATTGGGATGAGGACTTCCTTTGTTCGCCAGCAGTTCAATCCAAGTCTTGATTGGATGTCCTTAAAACGGACACAGACTGAGCCATTGTGCCAGAGACAACGTGTTATCTTTTTATGTTGTTGTTGTTGCTGTTAAACTATGATCTGTGACTTTTTTTTTTGAATGCTTTAAAAAAATCTTTTAAGTCTGTGGATCTGCTGATGTACAGTGCCTTTGCTGCTATGGATCAAAATCAAAAGACCCGTGTAGATAAATCTTATTGTATAAGTAGAAAATGACTTAATTTCATACTAGAAATGGATTGATGCTGCAAGTTAAAATGGACTGTTCATTGAAGTTCCAAATGTGGTAGCAAAAAATGGTGTCTTAAGTGCTTAGTGTTTGATGTCATTAACAGTTTCGTAATACTCTACATTGTAGAAAGATTTTGATACTAAACTGTGTCATTGTACATAGTTCTAATGCATTGTATTGAACACCAGTACTTCTATAATGGTAGATTATTGTTTGTGCATTCAGACTTTTAGGCATTAAACATAAGTAACTTCTAAGATGCATTTTTCTATTTTTTTCACCTTCCCTTGTTCTTTTTGTGTTCAATAATTTCAGTTACATATACAGAGTGCTGTCTGTAAGAACAAGAGGCATTCAGTTGCAGAGCATGCCACTTTGCAGTTTTGTCACTGAGAGACAAGATTTGAGAGAGTTTCACAAAATTTCTCCGAGCTAGCAAAATCTGTAAATTTATAGTTTACCAAGTTACCTTGACTGCAGTGATTCTGAACCCTTGAAGGCATCATCCACAAGACTTTGGCTGTGTCACCTAAGCATGTGCTGCCTCTCATTTGTACAGTTTCCCATCTGATACAAAATTTTACGTTATCTCATACCTTGGAGAGAGTGAAATTGGGGATAATTCCTGCTCTCACACCTGTTGAAGTATGTGGAGCTCAGCAGGATGTGGGGAGTGGTGTTGCACTGCAGCATCACATGTGGGTTTCCCCATCCGGAGCTGAAACCTCTTTGTGCCCATGGAAATGCTTTTGTTGACTACAGTTGGTTTTAGATCAAGAATTTAACCTAGCTTCCATTGAGTTAAAGTGAACTAGGGGAAATTAATTTATGCTATTGGGGGGGTGGGGGAAGAAGGGAGGCGTTGTGCTATTTGTCACATGAGAAATGGAAATGGAAAGAATCCCAGGGGAAAATGGAAATAAATCATTCTCCCATAGCCCATTGCTGAAAAGCAACGTTATGCATGGTGGAAATTCCTGGACGTGTAACCTGTCCCGCTCTGATGTGCCAGCCTGTGGTGACTGCCAGTGTGAGAAATTTTGTTGTTTTTTTTTTGAAATGCCAAAAGAAGGCTTAAGCTGATGATATCATTTACCTGTACTGAGTGACTGGTTAATACTTGGTGGTGGAGGAGAGCGCAGAGGCAAGTTTCCCTCAGAGCTATCAGTTTCCTTAGAGTTAATGGTGAAGAGTTTTCCAGATGTCCCCCAGAATAATGTAAGTTTTCACTCATATTGAGGTTCTGTGCTACTTAGTATAATAATGCTTCATAAAAGTAAACATGGTACAGATGCATTCTTTTAATTGTTACTCTTGTCGGAAGAGATATAATTTACCTGTTATAAATGTTATATTGGAAACACCTTTTATTTTCAAAGGCATTCAAAAATTTAAAAGGCTACAGTGTACTCCATTTGCTAACAAAAGAGAAACCACCTACTTAATGTTTGCGGAGGATGTTATGTTTTTATGTAGTAGTTCAGGCATAAGAGATTACTTAAAACCCTTTAGATAAAGCCTTCCTTTAAAAAGAATAAAACATTGCATACTCCTGAATTTATACCAGAGCTAGTTTTGACAGCAAAGTAATATACATTTAAAACAGCCTGCCATATATCTGCCTATTAATGTTTGTATTGATGGCTTGTAAACAGTCTAGGAATTAAATGCTTTAATCCAGGATTACTGCAGTTAAATGTGTAATCATCCTAATTTTTCCCCCTTCAGGGTTTGGTGCAAATTAAAGATGGTACAGAGCTACTTTCTGTTTTTCGGTTAAGCACACATAGGATCAACTTCCTCTTTCATTCTTTAGTTTCTCTCACCACTGCGAAGCACATTTTTGTGCAAAATGTTTGTTACAGATTTTTTTGTGCCACAAATGTGTCCAGCATACTCCATATTCAAGATATAACCATTGCTCACTCTGTATTCTTCATCCCCTTTCAAATGTTGTTAAGTGCAATAATACATTAGGAATGCCATTTTTTTCTAATCATTGTATCCTTTCTGAGTGGCCAGTATAGGCGTGTTTAAGGGAAGCACTTCCACTGAAATAGTATTTTCTAATAAATATGCAATTTAACATTATGTTTCTCCTGCTTGTTGTAGCCGAAAGTGATTTTTCTCTTCTGTTTCTTTTTAAACTACTAAATAAAATATGCTCAATTTCTTGTATGTGCAGGAGTCAGGAAATTAAAAGCAGTAGCTTGGGCTGCAACTGCCTCTCATTTGCATTAAATATGCCACATCTCTGTGGCACCAAATTAGCACTGAATACAGCAATACAAAATGCGCTTTATAACACCCAGGTATGGCTACTGAGAAAAATGTCACTTTCAATGATTTCAGAGCAAATGCACTCTGAAGAGCTCAGCCAAAGAACTGCTCTTACATGGGGTATGTGCAAGGAGCAGCTGCAATCAGTACTGAAGACCTTTTCTGATACTAACATTTTGTAGTGGCCACAGTAGTGTTGCAGAGGGTTGGGCAGTATGGGCTTGATGTGCAGGCAGCCAATTCTGCCATATATTTACATCAGAATATCCTTCCCAGACATAGCAGGAGGTGAATCCTGGAGTAGTGTGCTGTAGAAGATCATCTCTGACATGCTCTTAAATAATGTACCTGCCGCGTCTGCTTTTGAACCAAGAGTTACTGAACATAACCCTTGAGATTTCACATTTCTTCCAGTATTTGGAGTACAGCATTTCCACCTCACAGCAAGAAATTTTTATGTCAAAGCCAATAAATGTTCTTACTTTTACCAAATGATTTTCTGTCCTGGTTACAAGGAAACAGTATTATAGTGTCTTTTTTTATTATTAAAAATGGTGTAGTCTGACATTTGCAACATGTCCATAAACCTGCTGTCAAGTGCAAAGAAGCTCTTCTAGGGGAGGGGGGGTTACTGACTCTCACATGGTTACATTCTAAAATGCTGTTGCATAAATACATTTTTTCTTGTTTTGGAGGGGAGTAAGCTGTGACACTGCATGCATAGTATACACATTAAGGGAGGGACTGTCTAGTAGTTACTTCTGCATCTGTGGTTTGGACTTAACCACTTACTCCAGAAAAATAAAATCCATCTGAAAGGTAAAATCAGTTAGTACAAATATTTAAGGATTTTTTAAAAAAATTCTGCTTTTCTACAGTAATTATATTGACCCAAACTGTCTTTTAATGTCATGTCAAGGTAAGGATCTGTATTACACCTTCTTTTCACATTCAAATAAAAGAAGGAGTGGAGGAATTTAAAGCTAATCTTTACCTTTCAATCAAATCCGTTCTTTGAGAAGTACCCCATCACTAGTGTTTGGAGGAGTAATTGTCATTCTTAAAGAATTTTATAACAAATGTGCTGTGGCACAATTCACAGTAATGCTATAAATGGGGACAGATGACATGGCTGCTATTAAAAGCCAAGTTTTAGACAGTACTGTTGATGTGAAAAACCAGCATTACTTGGTGGTCAAAGGTGTTACCTCATTTCCTAAGCAAAAGCAATATTGATTTTTGCCAGTATATTGGAATGCATTTGGATGTCTGTCCAGTATGGCTTAGGGAAACTTTGAGGGGTTTCAACAATTCTTCATTTTTTACTGTAATTTAGGTTGCTTCTGATGTAAGTAATGGTGCACAGGGATGAGTCAGGTCCTAGGGCCATGGGGAAGAGGTGCCACGTGGAATGGGCTGGTCTGCTTCTGGTTCCAGGCTGCAGTCACTGCTGCCTGGCATGTACTGATATGATTTGCAAGAGCCTTGTGTTATGTTCTTCTGCATGAAAAGTATTATCTAAAGGCTAGATATCTGTTATTTAGAAAAGTTTGTCACAGCTGTATTGAAATACAGGGAGACAGCTTCTACTGGGGAAGGAACAGGAGTACCTCTGGGGAACCAAGTATTTCCACCCCTTATCAAGCACTGTAACTGTGCAAAAGAGGTGGTTGCACGGTTGCATTATAAGCTGTCAGTCTTGCACTGGAGTGGGGAAAAATAAAAATCCTAGGATACATAGTATAAGAATAATATACTTCCTTGTGTTTCAGCATGGCTTATAGGTATTAGGTATGAAGTGCAATTTACATTCATTTTAGAATAAACAAACATGAGTCCTCTAATGATGACATGACTAGCCATATTACAAAAAATAGTGACATTGAAGAATAAGAATAGTTACCCGTCTTTCACAGATTCACAGAATATTAGGAGTTGG